AAAAATTTTATATAATAATTATTTTATAATTTAATATAACTCAGTTTGTAAAACATAAGAATCTTTCCAATCATTATACCAATTACCAATCATCAAAATAGTTGGAATAGATCTTAAAAAAAGGAAAAAAAGTTGGAATAGAACTCCAAGTAACAAAGAAGATTTGACCGTCGACGCTACGGAAACATGTTACCCTACGCGTTAGGCTGCTGCGCCCCCGGGTGGGGCGGTAGCCGGCTTCTTTACCGTAAAAGAAAGGATTATATTAATAAAACACCGGTCATTATTAATCACGCGTCCTTGATTATCATAACAAAATTCATGCGTCCTTGCTTTAGCCTTCTCTTATTCTTTACACAAAAAAAAAAAGAAAAGAAAAAAACAAACAAACAAACAGGCTTGTTTATTTATTTTTTATTTTATTTTAATTATACAATAAAAAATAATTATTTTTTATTTTTTATTTTATCTTACTCACATATTATATGATTTGAATTCAAGCTATATTATTTTTTTACTAAAAATAAAATACTTAATTTTTTCAAAATAAGATTTTGAGAATTAGTCTTATAAATATAGAAATGGTTTTTTAAGATACCAAAAAATTAATACAAATAAAAATTAACATCACGAAAGAAAAGAATCAAAAGCTTTTTATCTGGTTATTTATTTTTATTTTATTTTAATTATACAATAAAAAATAATTATTTTTTTATTTTTTATTTCATTTTACTCGCATATTATACTATTTGAATTCAAGATATATTATTTTTTTACTAAAAATAAGAGACTTAATTTTTTCAAAATAAGATTTTGAAAATGAATCTTATAAATATAGAAATGGTTTTTTAAGATATCAAAAAATTAATACAAATAAAACTTAAGATCACGAAAGAAAAGAATCAAAAGCTTTTTATTTTTTTACTAACCCTTAATATTTGATAATTATATTAAATTTCAATTAATATAAAGTAGAGTTGCATCAAATTAAATTCTTTCCATTTAAAATAACCAGTGATTGGTATCAATAAAAGCTTATTAGTGATGTATTTATTAACTAAAAAATTATGATTTAAAATTAAAATAAAAAATTTAATTTTTCCACTTTAGCAAGTAACTAATTATTTAATGGTAAAAAGAAAAAGAGAACAAAAAAAAGAGATTGGTTGGTATCGGTAACCGGTTACAGTGGGCGAACCTGCCCATTTTCTCCTCCTCTTATTTCTGCAAGGTGCAAACAGAGTACCCAACCGCTTTATTTCATTGTCCTTCTCCTTCTTCTTCAAATAAGCTTCACGAGTTCTCTCTCAAGCTGTTTCCCGGCATCTCCTGTTCCTTGTACGGCACGTACTCTGCTTCTGCTCCTCATCGGCGACCAAAGGTATGCTTCTCCGGCCGATCACCGCCGCTGAATTCCATCCGATAGAGTTTGCTTCTATCTTGATGCATGTATTGTTTTGCTCGTCCAAATTTATGTTGTTATGTTCTCTGATCGTTGTTTATTTTATCGATTTTGTGGTTTTAATCTATGATCTTGCTGTTCGTGGTTGATGATTCTGCTTTTGATCATTAGCTTTTTGCTTGTTTGCTGATTTAACTATCCTTCGTTCATCTCTCTTCTTCCGCAGCGTGATTTTAAATTTTAACGCAAGATTCTGTATACCGTGCGCACTTTCTCTCTCAACTTTTTTTATATTTATTTATTTATTTATTATTATTATTATTTTTTTTTTTTTTTTGTGTGTTAAGTTCGGATTCAGTGGGAAATTCTAGATATCCTTGTGTTGTAAAATTGGATTAGATTGGCAAAGAGATAATCAATCTCGAAAACTATATCTCGATTTTTCTGTTTATCGCAAATTGGCGTTATGGTAATGATTAATGTTTGTGATCATAATTAGCATCATTATTGTCTCTGATGATGTTTGATGATTGATATGCTTTTGTGTATTTTGTACCAGTATCCAACTTATTTTTGGTAACACATTATCCAACTTATTTTCCAGTGAATATCCAATTTTACGATTTTCGTCCTTTATTCCTTCTCACAATGTTTTAATAAACCTGTGTATGGTCTTTTCTGCTTATTTCTGTGAAGAGTTTGTTCACTCCCGTTTTTCCGTTTGTTTCAAATATATATTTTTTAAATAGATTTGTGGCAAAAAAGGTATTTGCATCTGATGAAAAAACTGTAAAATACATGTTTTCAGAATTGTTTCAAAACCACCATTTTGCATTTTACCTGTTTCCGTGCAGTGTCACATGTCTCTTGAGTATCCCTTCATAACAAGCATTACAGCTCATTTTCCTTTGTCCAGTTCGTTGCTGTTTCATTAACAAACCAAAGCATTGAAGTCTAATTTCTAGAATGGTTGCAAAAATTGTAGACCTTGGGGGCCTGCTTTTAAGTGATGTAATAATATCATTTTTATTATGGTTTGGACGCTGGTAGTTGAATTACTTGTCTACTTTCTCACAAGTCAAATGGTTTCTTGTTGGACAATGTTGTATATTAGATAAGCCTTGCCCAATGTTACTATTGATTGTCCTAGCATCAACTAGGTTTAGATGTTTTTATGCAGGTTAGGAACTCTGAAGGTTTATCGTCCTTGGCTTAAATAATGAGGTTGTACTTGAGAGTTAAGAATAACACTAATTCATATGCAAGTTTTGGAAGAATAGCACATCCACTTTTGAAGGTAAGAAGTTTTGATACCCTGATATCTCTCTCTCTCTTCAGTGGGCTACTTCTCATCGTTCTTTTGGAAGTTAGAAATTGTTCGTTTAAACTCCTGGTTATTTTCTGTTGTAGCATGTCATTAGCTTTTACATTCTTCTCTCTCTTCTTTGTCTCCCCCATTGTCTGTCCTACTTGTTCGTAAACTATTTCAAATCTTAATTCCCCTGCTTTTTATCAATAAAGTGATTTGCACTGGTTACTCTTTTTGTTGTATTAACCATACATATGAATATACTATGAGAAGATGAAAAATAGCTTAGTTCTAAAATTTTCAATTATTTTTTCCTGAATCATAAATGGTATTGCAGGAACTTTTTGGTTGATTGGGCAAATGAAGGACAGATTTGATTTCAAATCCTCTTTCCCATTATTAGTATCACCAGAATATTGGGCAAATGAAGATTATAAGTTGATATATTGGGGAGATAATTAACGGGTACTAAAGATTCTATTACTTGTACACCAGATTGTTTAGACCTTGTTCAGTTGGAATTCACTTTTGCAACATGGTGTTTCCAGTTCATGAAATGGAGTTCACACTGAAAATGAGAAAAATAACAAAAGATTCAGTGATTGCATTTATGCAATATTCTTTAGATCTAACACATTTGAGATTTTATGTTAATGGTGGAAGTTGTTTGGTTCCAAGTGTCTTGGGAAGTTTAGGGAGTGACATTGAGATCAAGTAATCAGATATTCACTATCTCTTGTATTTCGGGGCATGTAGTGCCCACAGCCCAAATGATGTAATTAGCTCATTATCCCAAGTGCACCTCAAGGCCTTTACAACTTCTGATAGCCATCCTATAAACATTGGCTGTTGTAAGGTGGATTAATGAAGTAGGACACGATAGTGGATTCACTACTAATCCTGTGCTTGGAAGTTGTCTGCCCACACTTTGCTGATTGGCTCCTAGGCTGCTATACCATGCTATGTCTTGAAACTTGTTTGGTGGAGCCAATAGAGTTTATAAGGCCCCTTATGCTGGAAAATGGCTCGTTGAACAGTGGCCACAGAAAATGTAGTTGGGTTTGAGTTTTGTTGCTTAAGTTACCTGTGAATTTAGATGTAGTGACACTTGAGCTGTATGAAAGACTTTAGGTATTGAACTCACGCTTGTGGTTGCTGGATGCCTATGAGGAGGATAAATTGTAACTGACAAGATCTCTTCAGATTCACATCTCTTATCCTTATAAAAGGAGGAACTTGTACCTCATTTTTGTGACTTATGTAAGTCCAATACTGACATTAGTATTCAATGCTTCTGAAATTTTAGTCAAAATGGTTATGTTGATGGTAGAGTTCTTCAGCTTATTGATAACAAAAGACCATTGCCAGAGTTGGGATCTTTAATTTTCCTAATTTTCTTTGAATTCTATTTATAGAGATTGTTTGTTGCATTTTAGAAGCTTCTATCTTCACCCAAGGTCCTCTATCACTAGTACTAATGGGAGATTTCTTGTAAGTGAAAAAATCTAGTTTAAAATGAAGGATTGCAACTTTTAGCAATGTATAAAATTTTTTGATACTTACCTAATCCTCTGACATTTATAGTTTCTAGGAATACTTAATTGGGCATTTGCCTATGAGATTACATAAACATTGGATCCTTCTCTGCTCCAAATGTCACATGATAAAAAAGGTACTCTGGGCATCAATCTAGATCTCTTATATTGAAGCTATATATGCTTTTGATGGATTGGATGTTACATTAATGTTGGGACAGCCCACTTTTTTCCTCTCAATGTGTTTGATGCTTTGATGTTCTCAATTACTGCATCTTTTATTTTCATTTGTTGTTTGGCATATTTTGATGTGGTGGCTTTAAAGAATGTTTTGGTGCAATAGTTTTGTGGTAACTTAAATTTGTTTTAATATTTTAAGTAAAGCAATTATTATGCTTCTCAGTTGCTTGTGGTTGTCAAGAATATCAGTTTTGCTATTCATGATGCCCTCAGATGGCTGCTCACCAACAACATCAGTAAGTTAGTAAAAGCGAGGACACTTCTTTCACATAGTTGTAATTTAGGGCCCTGTTGTTTATCATTATATACCCATGCTTGGTTGGTAGTTCTTATTAGGTACAGGAAGTGGAAAGAAAACTTTTTCCTTGGATAATGAAAGATTGACAAGTCAACAACATTGACTTTTTTTACACCTGCTAAGTGCCCTTCCAACCAAATCCAGGTGATGGTCTAAATAGTTATCCTGCTTCTTGTGCTTCCTATTACTGGTTCTGAATCTAATGTAATTTTTCTGTGGGTTTATAGGGTTAGTGTTGGCATCAAATTTATAGAGCTCATAATTAATAATTAGTCACATATTCTCTATCATGATTTTACCACTTACCTCTTATTTTTCCTAGAAATTGAACGAGGATGCTTCCTTTTTTTTTGGAGAGAGAGGTTATCTATAAGGGGATGAATGCTAGTGGTTGGGCCATGTTTAGCATATTGATGTTTAAGAAGACTGTAGTCAGCAACTGGGTGCCTTTGAGAGCTTACCACAAAAATTGAACTTATTTTGCAGCACCATCTTTTCCCTTCCTCAGAAACGAATTGGGATTAATTTTGCTCTATGGTTCCGCTTGCAATGGTTATTTGTTGGTTTAATTTGGGAAGCTTAATTTAGTTGTAGAATCTACTTAAGAAGATGCCATTACCAAGTTAGAATTTGTTATCCTCTTGTTAAGAAACCCATGGCTCATGAAAGGCAGAGAACATCAAATGCAAACTGGCCATTTATTCAAGGCTCTGCAGACTGTGTTAAAAAATTTTAGGTCATTTTGCAACCCATTAATTCAATGTAAAAGGGTCATTCTGTCTTGAGTTTGTCATGGTGACTGCAACTAAACATGTCTGACTGAATTTTGTATGTTTCTCTATTGAATCATGTACCTCTTGTTGATAAAGCTCTTTCCATTTCATTCTTCTTTTTCTTTTTATGAAAACCTCATGGCTGCAGTTAGGGGCAGAAAATGTTTGTTGCACAATGATGAAAAATCTTAAATATTCATTTGCAACTGAATTTCTGATCTGAGATTCTCTTCAAATAATGCTGCATATTCATAAGTTCTGAAATTGGATTGTATCTGCCTCATTTTAGTTGGTTTCTAGTAGAACTCTTTGTAAAATTGCTTAATAAAGACTCTGATGGAGTAATCCTGCCATTCTCTTCTAATACAATGAAGTTCTTTTGCTTGCAGATTGCCTCTTAGTCCAGGTTGTAACTTATTGCTGGCTTTTATGTGATGGAGCATAGACATTTATATGGCACAAACCAAATGTTAGAAAATGAGCATGAGGACTGCTGGAATCAAATGCATGCAGAGCAACATTATGGGAATTTAGGTACTGCTTGGTTGATGCCTTACTTATTTTGTTTTTACTATGCATAATAAATTGCATCACAGTGTCCAGATATGTTCTCTTTAATGTTGTTATGCTCATCTTAATCTAATTAACTGGGAGGGATTGGTTATGCCCTTTCATTCTATTCAATCTGTTTTGATTCATGCGTTGACTATTTTTGTCACACATATAATAGCTTCTGTGCATGTTCTGCAGTGAGGACAGGCACTTCAGATAATGGTTCTCTTTTCTGTCCTGTGGAAAGCTCTGTTGATGGGGTGCATTTGTCTTCTCATTGGACCCCTGTTGCAAGGTCAAATGGGTATGCTACCTCAAGTCAAAATATGGAAGCTCCACAGTATCAACCAGACATTTCAGGCCCATCCCGTGACATTTTTCTGCATCAATCAGTAGCTGGATCCTTTAATGCAGCCCCTGAAAATGTCACACACCATGCATCTTCATCCAGTTATGATAGGCAGACTTTCCATGGAGTTGAAGGCAATTTTTTTGATCTTACAATGAGCAGTGGAAGAGGGCCTCACAAGCGAAAAAGCCCTGTAATACCTGCAGTCTGTGAGAGAGGTAGTTCAAGCCGATACCCCAGTGCTGGAAGTTCCTCAGATCTTATGCTATCTTGTGAATATTGGTCAGAGAAACGAACCATGGATTCTCAACATATGCATTGGGATCCTGTTGGCATGACCCCCAGTTATAGAGGCAATGGGTTTTCAATTAGGGGTGAGGGTTCTATAAGGAATGTGAGAAGCCGCCCTGCAATTGATCTTGAAACCAACTTCGTTAGGAACCATTTATCTCACACTTGCTACTCCATGAGCCACCCAGTTGACCATTCTAGCTCCACGGAACTATCAGGTCAGACCTCTATTGCCCTGACACAAGACTGGGCCCA